CAGTAAGGAGAGAGCACAGCATATCTGCTATACAGTAGTAGTAGAGTCTGGTATAGATCTGGGGCTGAATTTGGGGATTTAGATTTGGATTAGAGAGAGAGACAAAGATCATCAGCTAGGATACCTGCTTCCCTGGCGACTGTGCCCTGCAGGTTCCCACAGAATGTCTGCTGGAGCTGTGCGCTGAGATAAAGTGATGAGTAGAGGGAAGGAAGGCTGGACAAGAAGAGCTGCATGGTGCCTGGGCATTGGGGCACAGAGGAAGGGGAATCTGCTTCATGTAGTCTGATACAGGGCTGAGCATGATGCTAGAATTTGGATTTGAAGAAGAGGTGAAGATCTGAAATTAGCTTACCTATTTCCTTGGTTGATGTGGCCTGGTTGTTTACAGAGAATGCCTGTTGGAGTTAGGGGCTGGGAGAATGAGAGGAGTGAGGGGTGGGTAGTTTCAAGGGAAAGATCTGTGTGATTCACTGGAGATGGGGCCAGGGAGGGGAAGGGAGGCTGCAGAAGGTACAGAGCTTCAGATAAGACTAGGGGGTTGGTTTTGAAGGAATACAGAGAGAGGTGAATATCTATAGGAAGCCTTTCAGCTTCTTTGACTAGAGTGGGAATCATTTTTTTTTTCTGTTTGTAAAGATACCATCATCACATTGGAGTTGGGACCTATTCTTGTCCAATATGACTATGCCATAACTAATGTCATTCTTTAAAGTACCTATTTTTAAGTAAGGTGATATTTGAGGTACTAAGAACAAGGACTTTGACATGTAAAAGTAATTATGTGTAAAGCTTTTAAGAGAAGCAATTCAGCCTGTATGTGATGGCTAGTTTCAATTACCAAGAGGACACAGCCTAAAATTTCCTCAGAAGAGAATCTCAGGAAGGAATTATCTCAGTCCTGTTTGCCTATAGGCACGTCTGTGGGAGATCATCTTGAATGCCTTCATTGAGTTAGAACGACCCAGCTTCCACAGACAGCTCCATTCCCTGGGTTTGGGTCATAGTCTATATGAGAGTAGAGAAAGCCGAGGGATAGCATGCATGCATTTATCTCTGCTCCTGACTGTGGATATGATATTGTGATATGCCCAGTTGCCTCAAGTTCTTGAAATTTTGGCTTCCCTGTAATTTGGACTGTAAGCAGTAACTGTAAGTCAAAGTAAACCTTTTCTATTTAAGCTGTTGTTGTTTTGGTCATGGTGTTTGTTGAACACCGTGAATAAAAATGAATAAAATAAAATACTTTATTCATAAAATAAAATGAATGTAGCTCAGTGTGATAACATAGTCTCCGTGAAAATCACTGCACTGTATTTCCAGGAGTGGCAGTAACCAATGGTTAGTGTGAATCCAGTTGCATTCCCGTAGATCTATTCCAGCCAAGGTATGCAGTAGTCCTAAACCAAATCTGGGCAGATAGCAGGTGAATCCAGTGTTCAGTAGCCTCTGGTTGCAGGTGGGCTCCAAAATCCTTTTGTCCTCCCAACATCCAAATAACTTTGTGACAATGTGGAGATGCAGATGTGTAAGAGGGCCAGGGAATCACAGGGAAAGACTCGGTTTCCAGGGCTTTTACTACTTAGTGAAAAACAGACACGGAAGAAACATATTTATAACGCAGAAAAGAAATTTCTCAGTTTTCCTTTACTCTGTAAGACAGGTCCTGGATATGTAGATTATATATAATTATGTTTTAAGAAGAATCACTTTAAAGTCTTTAGCAAATCTTAATGTATATATGTATAATGTCCTAGAAAGGTAAGTTTTCTTGAAGCCTGGCAAATTCTTGTTAATTATAAAACCCTGAAATATAAAATGTTTGTTTACTTTTGTGTTTGGAGGCTATATCAATGAATCTTTAGCCCCACACTATACTTTGTTTTATCAAATTGGCAATAATGGAACACATTCTCAAGATTCATAAGCACTACAGCTTATGTGGAACTTGACAGCATGGTGAGACAGCTGTGTCTCTCTCTACTGGTCCCACTCCTCCAAAGACAAGGTAGAAAGAGATTGTTTCCTATTGCTGAGGCATATACACATCATACCACTAGAAGGAATACCACAGAGGAGGAAGATTGCTTAATTTTTTTTCCAGTTTGCCTTTGCATACACAGTGATGAATTCCATTTCTGGGACAAAATAGAAAATAGATTCTGGGTAATTAGGAAAGATTAAATATTTTAAAATACATCTTTGTGTGTTTATGCTTACACATGTGAGTATACTTTGTTTGCTTGCTTGTTTTTGACGCAGAGTCTCTCATTGGCCTGGAGCTGAAGCCTGCTTAGTGCTAGACTGGCTGACCAGTGAGCTCTGGAGATCTACGTGTCTCCAGCCAGCACTTGGATTACAAGTGGGTAGCACCATGCCTGGATCTGTTTACGTAAGTTCTGGGATTTGAACTCAGGTCCTCATGATTGCATGGGAAGTATTTTACCAACTGAGTCTTCTGTTCAGTCCCTAATGGACCAGGGGCACTAGAATGGGAGGATCAACTAGGGATAGGGAAGAGAGAGGGGTTGGGGGAGGAAATACAGGGAGAGATGGCTAAAACTAAGGGCCTTGTGAGGGGCTATATGGAAACCTAATATAGTGGAAGCTTCCTAAAATATACATATATGAAGGTGAGCTAAATAAAATTGTCAAATAATTGACAATTATTTGACAGAGATCCAAGTAAACATCTCTTGTCCCCAAATAAAGCTTCCAGTTCCAGGAATGGGTTACATCTAATCAAGTATGGACTCATGGGAATGCCCAAACAATCCAGGCCATTGCCAAGGCTACAAGTGGCTCTATACAAAATGACAGTAAGGCCCCATTGCTGAAGACAAAACCTACACAACTCATGGAACATGGAGAAGTTGAGCTGGTGCCCACATTGAGCCTCTACCCCCATGTACCTGTATTCATAGTATTAGAAGGTATTTTTCATGGTACCAAAGGAGAAAGGTTAATACCTACCCAGCTACAAAGTGATCTACAATGGTATTCTGCCTCCAGTACACTCTAGTGCAAATACAGACAAAGCTTGTGTGAATAGCCAACCAGTATCTGATTTGAGTTAAGCTCCATTTGATGAAATGGATCCCATACCAGATGCTGCTTGGGTGGCCAAGATCTTGAGACTAGACTGGCTAGGAACCTAGGAGAAAACCAAATATTACTACTCTGCTAAAGGAAAGTAGCAATAAAATGACTCCTAATGACGTTCTGCTGTACTCATAGATCAGTGCTGTGTTCACACATCATCAGAGAAGCCTCCTATTATAGCAGAAGAGAACAAATACAGAGACCCACAGCCAGAAAATATGCAGAAAGTGAGAGACCTTGGAACATGCAGCCCAATAAGGTATATCTTTATCACAGCTCTCTCCTTGGGGCATAGGGAGCTCTGTGAAAGAGGAGACAGAAAGACTGTAAGAGCCAGAGGGGATGGAGGACATCATAGAATCAAGGCCTATTAGACACAACAGGGCTTGTGCACATATGAACTCAGACACTGAGGCAGCATGTACAGGGCCTAATGGGGTTGAATGAGACCCAAGACTGAAAGTAGATGTGGAAAAAAGCCCTCATCCTTGACCCAGAAACTATCTCCAACTGATAGACACTTGCAAATGAAAAAGGTTTTCTCCAAGGGAGTCTCACTAAGAAGACAAACCATTCTTAAGGGTAGGCCACATTCCCAGCCACAGATGTCCAACACAAAAGGAATTTCAACGGCATCTTTAGAGGTTCTTTATTGCATAATGTTGTTAGGGCTTTGTTGTTGTTATTATTACATCTTACTTGTTCTTTGTGTATATATCATGCCATCCTGTTTCGTTCTTTTATGGGATTCCTGTGTGTGAATGTATGTGTCTCTGCATCTCTATATATGTCCTGTGCTTTATCTTTGGCTCTTTTTCTTGTTTGATTGTCTTGTTCTATTTGTTTGTTTTGTTTTATTTTATTATTATTTCTTAGTCGCCTATTATTTTCTAGGGAGAGAAAGGATAGGTGTAGATCCAGATGAGAAGAGAAGTGGAATGGAATTGGGAGGGATAGGTGGAGGGGAAACTGTATTCAGAATACATTGTATGGAAAAAATTATTTTCAACAAAAGAAATGTCTTTATTTTTGAGATTATAATTCCATCATTTCCACTTCCATTCCTTCCTTCCAACCAAACCTTCTAATATACCCCTCCTTGCTCTCTTTCAAATTCATGGCCTCTATTTCTCTTATTTTTCATTGTTCTCTCTCTCTCTCTCTCTCTCTCTCTCTCTCTCTCTCTTCTGCTTTCTGATAATTGTTCCTTCCTGACTGTGGGGTTCCTTTTGGCAGAAATTTTCTTACTATTTAAAAGAACATGAAACATTTTATCAGCCTTCTGGTATTCCTGTGAAGAACTGAATTAGAAATTGGTCATCTGATAATATTAAAAGGGAATATCAACCTTCCCAGATACTTATTTGGAGAAATTCTTTAATATTACTGAGATGGTTTCACTTTTCTGGAAACATTAAAAACTTAAAGTATCTACTAATAATTTAAAAAACATGTAGTTGAATTTTAAAATATATTCTAAGTTTATTTGAATTCACTTTCAAATACCTATCTTAATTTAAAGGGGAAAATAATTAGTTAACTTTAAAATACTCTGCTAAATGTTTAAATATGTAACAAGGAAATCATTTATCTTTTACAGCAACATATTTGAGATGCTGCAGGGGATAGATGTAAAATTAGATCAGTGGACAGATAGAATGAGAACTGAGGAAGTAAGAGTAACCACCAGCTTCTTACTGTGGCCCGACTTCCTCCACTAGAAATGTATTAAGTACATTGTGCAGTAACCAAAGTGTCTAACATCAGCAACATAAGGGGGGAAGACTCAGAGGGGTCTGGTCCATGGTCAACTGGTACCATGAACTTGAGCAGAACATTATAGTGGGGAGTGTGTGTGTGTGTGTGTGTGTGTGTGTGTGTGTGTATGTGTGTCAGAGGTTCCTCTTCTTGGTCAATAGGAAATAGAGAGCAAGATAAGAAAGTGTCAGGGATGAGATACATTCAATGTGCTACCCATCATGATCTATGACCTCTAGCTAGATCCCACCTTCAAAGTCTCCAGAACTTCTGTACTATCTGAGAACCAAGCCATCAAGACATGAGTCAGGGGGGATATTGGATATACAAAGCCTAGCAACTCTGAACTCATGCAAACTGTCTTGGCTACACATACAGGTAAACATCAAGCTACAGCATCACCACACAGTTTAACATTTATTAAAATATAGTTTTACCTTCATAAACTATCAAAGACATGTCACAAAGCTAAATAGTGATGTTTCAAAATCCATTATTTGCACATTTGGTGTTTGTTAGTGAGCCAGTGTGTCACACGTTTGACTTCTTAGAGTGGAAGAATCTTTCCATCATTCTTTACAACTCTGACTGGATAAGTCTTAGTGCTTTCTTCATGTTGTCTATCACTGAAATAAGAGTAAACACATATTATGCTCTTAGTAAATGAATGTAGAAATTGCTAGAACTTAAATGATAATAAATAAAATTGGATTGTTTGCATTTTTTATTAGTTGGCTCATTAGCATACTATTTCAATAAGCTAAATGAATATTTGTTAATTCATGGATTTCATCAATCAGAGGTGGCTCATCAAATTTATTGACAATAAGCAGCTTTATTAAAGGAGCTTTGAGACAGTGTTTTCTTTTTAATTAGCTATTGAATTAACTCAGTACTGTTGGATCTGAAACAAATACCAACTTCTTAAACATGACTGATAGTGGCTGTTATTAAAAATCGTCTTAATTAAATTTTGTACCTCACTATTTATAGGCATTTAAGAAAGACAAAATCATTATTGTCATCTGAGAAAATCACACTGGGTCTTTGACACTAGAAGGAAGTGTTATCTCTCCAAATGTTTGTGTCTTTTTTAGTGTGTGTCAGAGTCAGCTGTCACCATTGACCAATGTAATTCATGATATAATTTACTCACACATGGGTAAGTCCTGGGGTTCATATGTGTATAGTCTGTTAGAGTATCTTCCCGTTATATCAGCTCTGACAGTCAAAGAAGGGTCTGTCAAAAACAACACACAACAAAGTCACTCAAACATTACTTAACATGTTCTTAAAGTTGTTCCTTCTCTCTACTCTAAGATCAAGGTCAGGAAAATGTATAAACAAAGTCAGTTTTCATCTAATGAATTCATGATAGATTAGCTTTGTTTCCTTTGAAAGAGTCATGGCTCTATTTTTGGGTATTGTATTAAATATACGTGGGTAAGTTCATTTTAGAGCATAAATTTCTTTTAAATGTTTAAAATTTGTTACCAACGTAGTGTATCTTGGCATAGATCTAACAAGAGCATAATGTTACTGACTGGGTTAGAATTGGATCCCCTTGAAAAAGAACAGTGCTCAAGTTCAAATCTTAAAGAAAATAAAAGCAAGAATGCTAAAGTTCCTACTAATTTAGCAAACCTGACATGGAGCTGCACACATACCAACAAACATAATCCTTGGCACGTACTGCCCATCAGGAGACAAGTTCTTGTCTGTGGTCTCATGCTAGCAGAAGATGAAATAAATGAACATCATTGGATTGTATATCATTCTTTATGGAAGCTAAATTTCCAGAAAATTAAACATTAGAGTCTTTTAAAATTCTGTACTAACTAATACTTGACCCTGCATGTTTTTTTTTTTTTTAAAAAAAGAGTTCAAAGTTTCTATAAAATTATGACATTAAGACAACATTGTTGGGTTGGTGTACCATGAGATTCAGCATGATGAAGTCATTTTGTGCCATTTCTTGTATTTCTTCATTTTTGGCAAATTCCTTTTTTAGTGCTGTGAAAGAGAATGAAAAGTCAGTTTGCCTAAAGGGTAAGACATTGTCAATGTAATATCGAAGTTAGTATGTTTTCTATAATTGTGTCAATAGTATGGATGTCAATGGTTTGTTTTCCTTTTACTACTTAGTCTATCATTGGGAAGCAGTGAGCTAGAGTTGTTTATGGAGATGTCCACAGACAATTACAATAATGAACACAGTAGTTTTATAATTTACATGATGTAATTCATTGGTTAGAAAATTTTTCTCTCAACAAGTTTTTCCACTCATTCTTATTTTCAAGGAGTGGATATCACATTTCAAAGAGCATATCATGGTTTCACATTCAGCAAATTTGAACAACCACTATAATCTTTTGTCTGGATTGTTTCTCACTACTTAGCCCAGGTTTACCTCTTACTTATAATCTTTCTGCTGCCGTTACTCGAGGGTACCCCTAGGTGGCTCTCTCTTGGTCTTTAAGCATCTTGGTAGGATGGTGGTACTTTAGGAATTCCATTTTTTAAATATTATTTTTCTAGATTCCTTATTAACTATTCTTACCAGTTAACTTCTATCTTATGTTTGGATAGGCAGTAAGATCCCAGGAGCTAAAGTTACCTTGACAGTACTGACAGTCCTCCAGGTGGTGAATAACCATCAGTGGCTTGTTACTAAACAGAAAAAGCATAAAGTGAAGTTGAGTGATTAATGCTGGATCAAATTATAAAATGGAATTATATTTAAAGTTTTGGTACTTTTGAGAAGACTTAAATAAATATCCTCGGCTCATATTAAATGGCAATGTAACTTATAGTAGGTAGTGTCATCTGGTGTGTGGCCACAGAACATACCATGTACAATATTAGAAGTGTCAGCTCACAGGCTACATAGCATACTGAATCAGATTGTTGGTGTGGGGTACAGGAATCACAGCTTAAAGTAGCAGGTGGCACTTAGGTCCACTATAGTATGTATAGATAACTAGAAAACAATATCATCTCCAGGACTTATGTAACCAGCATTTATTTCTAATGAAACCGTGATATATGATTTCAGGAGAGTCAACTTAAGATATTTTTGGTTTTTCATTTATGTTTTTATAAAATAGTCATATTTGATTAGTTTTGTATCATTTTATTCATGTGTCAGCCTAAATCTACTAATAAGTGAGAGTCCCCTGTTAATATATTTTTCAGGATCATTTTGATTTTAACTCTGAACAAAGTTGTAATACTAAGTTGCTTCCCAACTCTAGTCTAAAAGTAAAACGAGAATAGTAATTCCAGAAGGGATCAAGTGATTATGATGTGGACATTTTGATGGGTTAGGTTTCATCCTTTCCCCAAAGGTTCTTGTGGTAGAAGCAAGGTCCCTAGTGAGACTGTGAGGTGGTGGAAGCTCTAAGGGTAGAAAGTGGTTATATAATGGCTGTGTCCTCCAGAACATGTCACTGTGTCTGTCTCCTGGGAGACAGTCTGGTCTCCTGTAACTTGATCAGTTCCCACAAGGATGCTTTGCTGTGAGACTAAGATCTAATCCTCTTTGTACACAATCGTATCCTGGGATGCCATTTGCCGTGAGGCTGCATCAGAGCTAGGCAAATATTGATATCTATGCTCTTGAACTTCCAGAGCCAAATAAACCTCTTTGGTTTACAAATTACCCAGCTTCATGAATTTCACTATAACTAATAATACAAAACTGACCAATAAAGTCATATTGGATAACTTTTTCAAATATGGCTTTAATGCTAAGATAATCATAGACATCAAAAGATAAATTTTGGAGACATGCTTATTCAACAAATTTTTTATCTATTAGTATCTATTAATTTGGTGATGTTGGTAATCAATCTTTGGACATGCTAAGCAAGCACTCTATTAGTTGGCTACATTCCTAGGCAGCATAAATCTTTTCAAAACCAATTACAAAATATAATTATATAAATTCAGTGGTTGCATAACCACTGAAAAATGCTGTATCTAGCTTTGGTTTGTAGTCTCAGTAAATGTTAAACACAGACATTGAATGGATAATTTCATTTACTTCTCAAACTTTAAAAGAACATTTTGGAGCCAGATTATAGTGGTGCACACTTTTTAATCCCAGCACTTGGGAGGTAGAGGCAGGCCGATCTCTGAGTTCGAGGCCAGCCTGATCTACAGAGTGAGTTCCAGGACTGTGCAACTGTACAGAGAAACTCTGCCTTGAAAAACACAACAGCAACAAAAACAACAATTAAAAATAACAAAAAGTACATTTTTGGATAAAACTCTTCCAAATTACCTTTAGGATTTATGGGAAAATGAGAAAACTGTCATTTACCAGCATCAGACGTTGGTAAAACTGCAGACTTGAGGTATGATGAATAAAATGTTATACCTACTGCCTACAAGTAGCATGCTAAGACTGAAGCATTCAAGGAGGCTTTTATGGGCAGGACAAACTAGACTCAGACCTCCTGAGCCTAAGATGTTTAATGATGCTCTCACAGACAGGCCTACACTCAGCCTTGTAAACATTAGCCAGAGATGTTTTCTATTAGATGAGCTCAGTGGGGTAGGCATCCTGGGACACAGTTGTCAGGGTCATGAGCTACCTTGCTCTTCCAATTGGCTACCACTACTTCACAGTATCTGCAAGATCTCTTAAAGGGGCAGCCATGCTAACGGAGACTTGAGAAAAGACTTAGGACATTAACTCCAGCATCAGATCACAGCAACTAGAATACAAGGAAAACCTTACTCATAATAATTCTCAAATGAGCAGTTATTCTATTTAAAGACAAGGACAGAGCCGATGGCAGGAATTGAAGTAGCTTCAATCTAAAGCAAGGCTTCAAGTTTAGTTAAGCTGTGATTTTTCCACTGAGGAGAGTAAATACCTGAGTGTTGTGGCTATGCTTTCATTTTTAGTACTTCACTCTGCCATCTTCACATAGAAATAGCTAAAAGTGGTCTGTGGGGAAGAAGAGGGTGCTTGTATCCCAACACAACTTCATTTGTGAACCCCAAAATGTGAGTTTAGTGTTAATTTTACATTACAAGATACTACATTTTTATTTTCCAAAAATTTCAAAATAAAAATCAGCTCTAAGAACAGATGTCTCTCCGGCCCATGGCAACTCTTTTAAGAGAAAATGTTTAATTGAGGTTTGCTTGCAGTTACAGAGGTCTAGTCCATTATGCTTTGTGGCATGCAGCCATTCATGGTGCTGGAGAGTTATTGAGAACTCTATATCCAGGTCCACAAGCAGCAGGAAGAGAGAGACACTGGTCCTAGCTTGAGCTTCTAAAACCCAAAGCCTACCCCCAGTGACATACTTCCTCTAACAAGGGCACACCTACACCAACAAGGTCACATGTCCTTATCCTTTCAAATAGTGGTACTCTCTACGAGCCTTTGGGGGCCATTTTCATTCAAACTACCACAAAGGATATGATCTATCATTTTCTTTTCTTGTAGTGTCCACCTGACTTTGTTACTAGGGTAATGATACCCTTATTAAAGGAATAATAATCATTAATGATAATTAGTTAATAATTACAATTAAAGAAATAAATTGAAACATATTGTTTCCTTTGATTTTTAGATGAATTTCAGGAAGATTAGCATTAGTTCTTTAATAGTTTAGTAGGCATCAGGCAATGTTAGCACACAGCTGTAAAACCAGCATCTGGTATGCTGAGGCAGGAGCATAATTTGAGGCCAGTATTTGGGATGTATAAGAAACTGTTTCAAAAATAAACAAAAAATTTAGAAGTTGGTAAAACCTAGCAGTTAAGCTTCAGGTAGATGGAAGACATTTATTTATTTATTTATTTATTTATTTATTTATTTATTTATTTGAGATATGGTTTATCTTGGTTGTCCTGAAACTTGTTCTATAGACCATGCTGGTCTCAAACTCACAGAAATCCAAATGAGTGTGTCTTCCAAGTGCTGGGATTAAAGGTATGTACTACTGTGGGAAAATATAAGGCCACAGCGGTGGAGAAGTCTGGGGAGGGGGAGGGGGGGTTTCCATGCTGGCGAGGTCCCACATACAGGAGGAAGTCTAAGGTTCCAGGCTGGAGGCTCTGGCAGCAGCAGGCCCCAATGACACGAGGAAGTCCTTGATTCCAAAAGGGTTTATTGTCATGGTGGATGGTGGATGGATCTGGAAGTATGCTCCGTAAAACTCAGGGCAGTCCGGAGGTAAATAGGGAAAGAGAAAGGGGGAGGATCTGGGGGAGGATCTGGGGAGGAATGCTTAATTTGCTCCACCCTCTAGCCTTTATTAGTATGTAAATCCCTAAGACCTGAGGTCTATAGTTACACCCTCCACCTGTGCACTTTGGGAGGGGCTGTAATGGCCTATGTGACTGAACAATGTATGTCTATGGGGAAGGGACTGCGCGTCAGGACTCTGGGTTTTAGGGGCGTGGGCGAACACCTGCGGTTCTCACATAGAGTCTTGGGATTCTAGGCCAATGAACCAGAATACCCTTACGCAGTCCCACATACTACCAATGTCTAGTAATGGAAGACTTTTGAAATTCTTTTAAAATTCTGAATAAAATTTCTTCAGTGGTCTGTTTAAATTTTCTATTAATGATTAAATGTTTTTATGTGTACAGGAATTTGTGTTTCTCTTAGTATGTCTAATTTATTGTCTTAAAAGTTTTCAAAATAGTCTTTCGATCCATCTTTTCTCTTTGGTTGTTTTTTCTTGGTTTGTTTTTACTTTCATTTACATGTATGTATGTGTGTATATTTGTATGTATGAAGGTACCTAAGAAGGTCACAGAGACCTTGGATCTCATAGAGCTAGAGTTACATACACATGGGTGCTGGAAATTGAACTCTGGTCCTCTGGAAGAACAGTACATACTCTTACTCACTGAGACATCTCTCCATCCCCTGAGATACCATTTGTAATTTTGTAATTTCTACTTTTCATTTATGATTTTATTAGACAACTCTCTTTTTATTTGCTGGTATATTTCCTGCTATGTTGGTTTTATCTCTTCAAAAAGGAAAGAAAGAAAGAGAGAGAGAGGGAGAGAGAGAGAGAGAGAGAGAGAGAGAGAGAGAGAGAGAGAGAGGAGGGAAGGAAGGAAGGAAGAAAGGAAGGAAGGAAGGAAGGAAGAAAAGCAGCTTTTATTTGTATGATCTTCCCAATTGTTTTCTTATGGTCTTTAATATTTCCTTTGGAATACTGATTTTGAATTTAGTTTCTTTCTATTTTGTGGCATGAAGGGAGTTTTAAGGCACAATATTAGATTATTTGAAACTTTCTTCTTTCAAATAAAATATAAGATAAAGATTTTTATTGGAAAATTATCTCAATAAAGATATTTATTCAGAAAATTTTTCTCTTTGATCTGTTTATAGTGCATTTCATAAGTTTTAATATGTTGACTTTCATCTTTGAGTTTCCTCGAAATAAATAATGTGTCCATATGTTGTTTCTTACATTCATATTTGGAAATAAAATTTTTCCAAAATATTTATTCAGTTCTGAGAGTATTTAAATCCATTTTCATTTAATTTCCCGTGTTTTCATTTTAATCCAAGAATTGAAGATGAATTCTTCAGATATATGAAAAATTCTTCAGGAGATTTTCTAATCTTTAAGGATAAAAATTATGTTACATTTGATCATTGATCAGTGCCGGGCACATAACAGAGGACGATCAACTCATATTTGGATGATTAACTATGAATATGAGCGTGAAATTAAGATTCCCCAGGGTGTCTGGCTCACCAGACCTGCTGGAGGACTGTTCCTGAAAGTTGCTTTCCTACTAAGCTTGCAGAGGGCTTAGTGAGTGGCACCACCATATTCATACAACTCACATCTAAAGCTTGCCTGTGGAATAAAGAAATTCATACTGGGGGATTTAGAACTTTTACAAATAAAGGATATCACTTGTTATGATTTGAATGGGAAATGTTCCCTACAGGCCTGTTTGTTTGAACAATTGTTCTCAGCTGGTGGTGTTACGGTTTCGCAAAGTTTAGGTGAAGGTGGGGAGAGTTGGGGCTGGTGACAGTCCTCATAGGATATATCCGACCCTGGTTCGTGCCCCATTCTCTGCTGTCAGCCTGGTGGAACCTGTAGCCTGCCTTGCCTTCTTCACTATGATGGATTCTATGATAAATCCTTCCTCCTCAACTTGCTTCCCACTAGGTGTCTGGTTACAGAAATGAGAAGAGTAGCTAAAACAGCATCGTGATAGCATTTGTGACTTCACACAGACTACAACAAGTACATAAGAACTGCGGCTTTCTTTCAGAAGCTAACATAACTCTTCCTGGTTTTTCCATGAGGCATGAAAGATGGCATGTGAAGAGAAACTGAGAGTGATTTTTACCTTTTGTGAGCATGAAAGAGACCTTCTTCGTAAGTTTGCACCCACGTGATGTCGTCTCCCCACCCTGAAGAAGAGATAAATCCTTGTATTATAATTCCAGGACTATAGGTCTTTGACTGATGAGCAGATGTCAACCTACAAACCTATAATAGCTCCAAAGCTGTTGAGTGGCATACACTGTAAAACATAGTAAGTTATACCTCAATACAAAGAAGTGGTACCCTATCAGATTGTATGTTAGAGGATTTGGGAGTGCAGATCAAAGCTCAAGATAAGCCTTGAACCTGTTCAGCACTGATCAGGGCCAGATAATCTGAGAAGACTTCTCTGGTCATGCAAAAGCTCTAGCTTTCGGAATGTACATGAAAGAAGTTATCTTAGCATACTTCCAAAGAACTGCCAAGAGCCCTGTGCACTATACTACCAAGTGCCCTCTGAATCAAAGGATGCTGACTGCTTGTATGCAGTGCACAGTTGGGTAACAGAGTTCCAAATTCTACTTTCACTTTTTTTTCCTTAAAAATTTTTTAAGGAGGAAAACTTCATGTTTGAAAACCCCAAAGGGAGGGGGGCGGGACGGAGGGAGGCAGGGAGACAGACACAGAGAGACAGGGAGAATGAATTCTGGAAAGATCCAAAGAGTGAAATACAGGGAAAAAGAAAGCTGTGACTACAGAGAGAATCACTAGCCTTAGAAAGGAGATAGCAATATTTCTAAATTCACACTATAGATTAAAGAATGCAGCTTTCAAGAAGTAGAATGTACAGGGCATCCAGGAATACTGCAGAGTGATTAGGATATGCCCCAGATATGGATGAGAAACACTGACATGAAATATCTGGGGGCCAGTTAGATTCAGGTTTTCCTCTGTGTTAAAATGTCAGATTGCAGCGTCTACACTTGATACCAATGATATGTAACAACAGAGATTAAAAGTAGAACCATGAACTAAGATACACGTGATTCTGTGTTTCTTTTTGTTTCATTAATTTGTTCTTTGATAACAACGTTATTGAGATATTATTCACATAGTATCCAACTCACTCATAGAAAGTGTTTATTCTTTGTGGTATATTCCCAGAGCTACATGGCCAACACTACATTCGATTTTAGAACATTTTTACCAACTCAAAGTAAACTCTTGTTAAAAATAATTACATTTATTTGTCCACTTATTTATGTGTGTGGGGAGGGAGCTTAATGTGTCTGAGCAGCAATGTGGAGGTCTGAGGACATCTCGACGGTGTGGGCTCTCTCCTTCCAGTATGACGATTCTGGGAATTAAATTCAGGCCACCAGGCTTGGCACTAAGCACTTTCCATGTCACCCGAGCTTTATTTTTCTAGATCTTTCCCAGCTCTAAGAATCACTTCATCTAGTTTGAACCCCTGTAGTTTGCGGACTCTGGACATTTCATGTAAGTGGACTAGCCCTCACATATGCACTATGTGATCTTTGTGATTGAATTGTTCACTTAGCATGTTTTCAAACTTTATGATATGTCAGATGTTAGTAGTTAATGACTTTTCTATGGCTTAATATTACTCCATCACATAGAGCCAGGCTTAGGCAGTGAAAGAAGTTGGTATCAGTATAATGGGGTATTGCTGTGACAGACCTGACAATGTTGTTTTGGGGAGGATTGCGGAAGAACTTTGGAACTTTAGATTAGAAAAGCCACTGATGTTCAGAGCTCAGTGGGCTGTTCTGTAGGGGCTTGGGGGATGAGAATGTTGAGAACAGTGAAGATGATGGAGGCTCGGTTTGTAAAGTTTCAGAGGCAACAATTCTGTTAGGGTGGGTGTGTGTGTGTGTGTGTGTGTGTGTGTGTGTGTGTGTGTGTGTGTGTGTAGATTCTGTGGTGGTTCAGTTAGCTGGGTTGAAATATCAGTTTTGCTTTGCTGGGATACTCCCTGCTGGTCAGCTAGAGCTGAGAAATTAGCAGTGATTAAGAAGAGCCCAGAACAGTTGAGGTGAAATCTTCTGAGAAGCGTTTCCTGAGAGTCAGCACACAGAATGTAGCCAAGGCTGTACCTTGTGCTGGCAGCCAAAGTTGGTACTGTAAGAGTCACCCAAGTGGTACTGATTAGGAAGGAATGAAGGGGTGATGGAGAGAGGTGATGCATGGCACGGTGAGTGGGTAGAAGTGGCCTTTGGTGAAGGTGCAGCCTCAGTGACAGTTGAAGGCCCAGGATTGAAAAGTTGAAAAGAGCCGGGCAGAAAAGTTGAGGCTTGAAAGGGTAGCTCAGTTGGAGCAGAAGACCCCAGCATTTTGGGGATGTCAGTGCCAGGGAACGGCCACTAAGAATATCAGCAGCTTTGGAGTGGAACCAGCTGGAGTCATGACCACAAGATGTATGTGTTGCAGTGAGTGGGGCTAGAGAAGCAACCCAAGCCATTTGGAGGAGTCCACAAGTTTGTGAGTGAATCTGAGATAACTGGACAAGTTATTTACACTTTTGGAGTTGGTTTTTGCTTTGTTCAGGTTGCTGATTCTCTTGAAGTAAGAACGTGTTTAATTTGTTTTGTTTGTTTGTTTGTTTGTTTTATCGAGCCCCGAGTTGAGAAACTGACTTTATGAAGGGACTTTTAGGTTTTTAAAACAGACTGGATGTTTTTAAAGAGACTGAATTTTGAAGTGTTTGAATTTGTAAAGACCATGGGACTTTTATAGTTTGTAAAATGTTTTATGAGATTGATCTTGTGGATGAACAAGAAAGGAGTGGTTATGACTTATGAGTAATATGTTCCAGTGTCAAGTTAGCATGGGATCAGTTATCCTTCCTGGTTTTATGTCAACTTGACTCAAGCCAGAGTTATCGGAAAGCAGGGAACTTCAGTTGAGAAAATGTCTCCATAATGTGCAACCGTAAGGTATTTTCTTAACTGGTTACTGATGAGAAGGGTCCAGCCTATTTGAGTGGTGCCACCCCTGGGCTGGTGGTCCTGGGTTCTATAAAGAAGCAGACTGAGCAAGCCATGAGAAGCGAAACAGTAAGCAGCACCTTTCTGTGGCCTCTGCATCAGTTCCTGCTTTCCAGTTCCTGCCCTGTTTTGAGTTTTTGTCCTGACTGCCTTCAGTGATGAACAGTGCTGTGAAAGCGTGAGCTGAATAAACCCTTCCATTTCCAAGTCTCTTTGGTGTTTCATCACAGCAAGAGTAACCTTTATGACACCCACTTTTTATACACTCACCGCTTGATGGAAATTTGGGTTGCTTTAACATTGATGAATAATTGATGATTGCTTTGACTTTGATGAATAATGTTTATTATGAACATAAAAGAACAAGTTTGTGAATTGTGTATGTATTTTCATTTGCTTAGGGCATTTAGGGAGAAGGAAAAATGCTAATTTAATGGTAACTGTATTTTAACTTTTTCCCATTGAGGCAGGTTCTCTATATGTAGCTTCTGCTATCTCTGAGCCAGGGTGGCATGAAACTCACAAGTGCTGGGATTAATGGTGAGTGCCACCACACCTGGCACATGTTTTAACTTTCTGAGGAGTTGTTAGTTAAATTGTTCTACAAAGTCACTGTGCCAGTTTATAATAAGGGCAAAATAATAGAGAATTTTTGGGCTGGATCAATATCTTCACATTGGAAGACATCTTTGCTGTTTTGCTGCCTCACCCGAGCTGGAGTCTGCTCAGTAATGATCCTGAAAAATGATCTGACACTGCTTTAGTACATTTCACATTAACCTACTCTAGAAATGTGACAGCGGCCCCCTGACTACTTTTCTTTCTTTCTTTGTACTTATTTTAGATTTTTATTTTCATATTTATCTTATATTTTATATTTTTAATTTTTTGTGCATATGGGTGTTTTGCTTGCATGTATGTATGTGTACCACGTGTGTGTCTTGTGCTCATGGAGGTCAGCATTAGATTCCCTGGAACTGGAGTTATAACTGCCATGCGGGTGCTAAGATGTGAACCCAGGTCCCCCTGGAAGAGCAGCCAGTGCTCTTAACTGCTGCCATCTCTAGCTCCCCTCATCTGTTGGAAATGTCACTCAAATACAAAAGCTTTGTCAATGGAAACATTCCTGTTCTCTATTCCCTGCTCAGCCTAGTTCCACAGACATTAAAGGACTGCCATCTGCTCTGTTTTAATCCACTAGTTTCTGAGAATACAGAGGAAGAATAATATAACTTCTCAAATAGCCATAGCTCTGCAGGGAGCATACTGTTTTCATGCAGTCTATGTCATAATCACAATGAAGCGAATGTGACAGAATTTAAATTTTCCTCCAGATTCTGGCTTCCTGGCGATTGTTTTGTTTCTAGCTTTTGCTTATGCCTTTTGGTTTTCTGTGAATGATTTTATCCACTCATCAGCTATGCATTTATTATGTGTTGTATTCTAGACACTTGGATTGGCTTCCAGAAGTGCTTTTGCTTGGTAGACCATGTTGGACTTGAACTCACAAAGAGAGTGCCGGAAGGTACTTTAGGCAAGCACTATCATGCTAAGCTACAGTTCTCATGTGAAAAGGATACTAGGAAATGTTTGGTTGCAAAACATTTGTTGTGGGACCATGAAAGGAGCATGATTTCTGGTGGAGCACTCGCTAGAGATGGCCAGAGACCCAACAGATATCCCTGCAAGGGACAGTATACATTTCGCCATGCTCCCAAACTCCAGGCTCCTGACAGGAGACCGAAGACCTCTATTGATCAGTGTCTTTCAGTCACATAGGGCAATGCCCCTACCAGTCCCTCCGCAGGTAGAGGGCGTGACTACAGGCTGCAGAGCCTCAAGAGATCTTTATATTTATCAGGTACCTAAAGGCCAGAGGGCATAGCCAATTAAGCATTCATTCCCAGACCCTCCACCTTACAAACGGTATTTAACCTCAGGCCTGCCCTGGGGGCGTGGGGTACGAGGTACAGGGTACAGCTACATCCACTTTCAGCCACTACAATAAACCTTTAAAACCATGGACTTCCTCGTCTTTGGGTTGCACTGTGGAGAACCGTAGAGGGGGCCTTTGACTACCGAACTGCCGAGCTTCGCCTCCTAATCTCCCATGGAGGACTTCTCTACAGAGCCTTGTCACCTCAAGCAAGCTAGAGGAGCCTACCTTGATCCAGCCAAGCAAGTCACAGTGACCAAGAGTACCACTACCCCGCAGGGCGCTGCCAGAGCTTCTCCCTCTCGCTCTCTCAGCTGTGGGCCAGTCCAGCCCATATGGCCTCACCTCTCTCCACCGCTCCCAGCAGCATCTGGGAGCCCAAGGACAGAGACCACTGGTCTCTTGGTCAGCCGAGTTGGCCTGGAGACCCCCAACCCAAGAGCTCTGCCCCTGCGGGACTTCAGGCTGAGACTTCTCCATGCCCGGGCAGAGCCCTGCAGCTTCTCACAGCCCAGCGTTTGCCCAGCACGTGTGGAGTGAACTCAGTCAAATTCCCATTCTTCTGCTCCCCAGCCTCGGTTTCAGCGGTCTAGGGTGGCAGACACACGGGATCCACAACTCAGCCCAACAGGACCCACACCCCACGCCACAGACCCGCAATGTGTGTGTGTGTGTGTGTGTGTGTTGTTTTATGTGTGTGTGTGTATGTGTTGTTTTAACCACCTGTTTCTTTTCCTCACTGATCTTCTGTTTTCTTCCAACTGGTCTCTGTCCTTAACTCTTTTCTTTATGGGGCCGCACTAGGCACACTGTACTCTGACTTCTTTCACTTGCTCCTGTCTTTCATCCTCACTTTCTCAGCCATTTCTAACATAGAACTAGATAACCAGAGGGTCAGCAAATATAAGCCAACCCTCAACACAGTGACTCTCAGCGTTCGTGGTCTTTTTCTCTATTAAAGCAGTATCTTAATAACTGAAGTAGTTGAACCAAGTTGTTCCGAGTAAGCCATATGTACTCCAATTCTTTTTCATAAAGTTTGCCTTAAAGGGGGCCATAAAGATGGCGTAGCAGGTAAAGGCTCCTACTACCAAAACTGATGACTTGAGCTTGATTCATGGAACCCAAATTGGGGGAGGAGAGAACAGAGTTCAGCAAGTTCAACACGTTGTCTTCTGAACTCAGCACATAAATAAATACATGCAGTAAAACTTTGCTGTAGAGTTTCAGATCAACATCTAAATGGGTTCACAGGGTACTGATGTCTTATACATCAGCTATAGCAATGCCACTCAGCTCCACTATAGAAGGATTTAATGAACAATTAGTAGCATGATCCTGGGTGGTTTAAAGTTACTAAGCTATTTATTTTATAACTATTACGTTTGTTTGGAGAGCTATGTGATAAATTATATCCAGGGAAGTATTTTTGCCCTTTATTTATTTTGCAGTATACATTGCATTTCTAGACATATAGATTGTGATTGCTGAGGTAAAGTTGAATTAATTGACCTCGGTAAAGGATTATGGACACATAGCTGGTGGGCTATATATGTGAAGAAATGAATGGCTTGGCAGCCAGTCTGCTTTCATGTTTTAGATACCCTGCAGTACGTTGCACTGTTCACTCTGCTCAAAGCACCATTTCAAAGAGTGGTCAAACACTATGCGGTTATCCTGATTATTCAAATTTATCATGCTGGGGCAAATAATTCTCAGCATTTACAGTTTCCCTGGAAACAGAAAAACAATTCTGAGAACCATTTCTTCTTCATCCTTTTGGGTATGAAGATTTATTTTTTCTTAGTCCAAAGTAAAATTGTAAGTATAAAAAAAAATAGAAGTTTTTCTGAAGCCAAAGCCAATGATAAATGTCTAAAGTCAGTTCACCTGTTTATCAGAGTCCTAAGAAAGACTTGCTTATCCAACATTATCAGGAAATGAGAGAAAGCATGATTTCCTGAGTAGCCTTGTATAAAATAATAACATTATTTTCTTGTCTTACATAGGGGCCAGGGAATTTGAGCAAACTTTGCACAATATTAAATTGCTTTCAGGACAGCATTATGACATCAAAGAACCATTTCTTTTCTAAGATTATGATAATCAAAGCTATACATATCAAGCCAGTTCTTTACAACATCTGCAAAAGATGCATCAAAACATTTTTATTAAGCCAGGCATAGTGGTTAGGAGACAGAGGTAGACACATCTCTATGAGTTTGAGACCAGCCTGGTATACGTACTGAGTTCCAAGCCAGTCAAGGCTACATGGAGAGACCTTGTTTCAAAAACAAAACAAAAATCCCAAACCCCAAAGTGTTGTTAATTCTTTGAAATTTGATCATTTACTGTCTAAAAATCAATGGTCCCCTTGAGAAAAGTTTATTTTAAAGTCATACATAACAAATATCTGGGCATGTTTTGCTTATAATTAAACTATAGATGGATATACCAAATATATTGAGAACAGTTGAAATGAATGAGTTTAGAAACTACAATGAGATTACCGTACCTCTTGAGAGTGTCTGAGGAGATTTCTTTTCTTTTCTGATAGCAATGGCAAGGTTGGAAGAAACTGTGATCAGCAGGAGGCAGAGGGCCAGAGCAGAATGTAGCATTGTGTACTCTAGAGAGTCACTTGGAGGCAGCTAGAAGACAATTTTCAGAATCTGGTCATTTTTTTTTTTAAACAGTCTGTTATTCAAAGATACTTGGACAAACCCCAAGCTGACAGATTCAGTTTTCGATTTCACATTAATCGTATGGGATCATTTAAGAAACATTTTAAAACCCAACAAACCATCTTAGTAGATATTAAGTTTGTGAAGGTTCTGGAAATTGTGACAGAGCGACATGTGAGAGCAGGCGGAGGGTATCCAGCTGCTCCTGAGGTCACTGTGCTGTGTGTAGCTCCACAGTGAAACTCATCCTGTTTGTTACCCCTTTCAGACTTCATCATGCAGAGCAAAGTTGACTCTCAGCACCGAGAGTCTTTGTCTTCTCATCTTTCTGGGCCTAATAGCTGGGGCAGCATCTTTAATTGTATGGCAAAGCGAGATTAGATAAGAAAACATTTCTTCCGCTACACATAAGAAGCACTGTAGACTATGGACAAGCCTTGGGTTTTGGTGCTCTGTAGGCACATAGCTCCCACAGTCATTTAGCCTTTTACCCTTCAATTTAAAACTTTCCTCTTTAAAAAATCCCAAGTATTATCACATTACTGAAATGACGCACAGGGATAACAGAGTAGAAATCAGTACACAGATATCCGCCATGCTTGTTCAAAATTACTTAAAACCCTTTTGACTGCAGATTTGTATTATTTGGCAGTGATAATGAAATTATGAATAATAATGAAACTTTCTAGCCCAAATGTAATCAACAACCGCTTACTGATTTTGCTTGAATGTGGCTATATTTAGCTCCATTAAGAATTGTGGAAAATGGAAAGATTCACAAGACACAGTGATTTGGTCCGAGGGAAAAAAAAAAACCAGGTGACTGTGATAGTTAACACAAAACAGCCTCTGAGATCTTGTAGAGCAACAAACAGCTCAGTGGAGATTTATAGGCCCTGGTTTCTCTGAATAGTTTCTTATTCTTCTTGCTCCAGTATGGTCTCATTCTCAGTGATGTCCCTCCTGTCCCATTTCTGAATTGATGATGTTTGCCACCCTGGGTTAGTCTTATTGAAATTACTTCCATCCATAATTGTCAGCAGAACTATTTATTGCTTTCTTTGTATGCAGGGTCTAAAAACATGTTAAACAGTAACCATGCCTGATAATACTATCCGTTTCAGTTCTTATAGCTTATTAAGTCATAAAACATTTCAGAATGTCATCTTGTTTTCTTACGGTTTGGCCATATTGTACCTGGACAAGGAAATGAAATGGTAGCAATGGTAGATTTTAGTAGGAAACAGGACAGCCTGGGCTAACAAGGCCAACTTGAGAGGGTCAGCCTCAGTCATGCAAGTTGTAGTAGCGATGTTGAAAAACTACCCACAAGAAAGTCCTATCAGCTTCTAGAATGTCTGCAAATGAGCCACAGGTGGGAAATTAAAAAAAAAAAAAATCCCAGAGACTGCCTCTTCATCTTCCTTGAGAAGGTACAAAAATACTTTAGATTCTTTTAGGATCTTAAAAGGAAGAACTAAGGAAAGTTAATCTGGAGATAATATTTGTAAAGTTCTTGATGTTAGAACCAGAGACAAACAGGTGGAATCTACATCAAGAAAAAAAGGGGGAAAATGTGTAACTTCAATGTTCCTGCTATTTTAGGTCAAGTTCACAGTTGAGGATGAACCTAATAATCTCTAATTTCTAGTATTTTTTACATATCTATGTACTATTGTTAAGTACATTTTTATATTCAAAGTTAAGAAACTTTTGATAGATGTTGCAAAAAAAAGGTACTGACTGTATTCAAAGCAACGTAGCTTGTTTACGGTTGTCTGGGAATCAGTGATGCTTCCCTTGGTCCAAGTGTGTCTTGCTGAGAGTCCTTAAATTCCAGTTGGAAGGGACAGGCATTGGGAAAAATTCAGATGATTCTTACATTACCGCAGCATCAGATCCATTTGGGAAGCACCCACCCCACGGTCTACCAATCGGCTTTACCATCATTGACCAATTAGCACTTTCTAACTCTAGGCTTGTACTTTTGAAAAGTAGTTTAATATAAGCCTTTCACTTCAATATTGAAATTTTCTGTATTTAAAAATAAAACTTTAGGGGTGAAAAGAGGTGCTACAGTGGTTGAGAGTACTGGCTGCTCTTCCAAAAGAGCTGGGTTCAGTCCCCGACATCCACAGGGCAGCTCACACCTGTCAGTTCCAGGGGATCCAACATCCTCACACAGACATACATGCAGGCAAAACACCAGTGCGCATGAAATAAACATACATAAATTAAAAAAAAAAACAAGTTAAACCTTAAAAATACAAGGAAGTGTTGTTGGTAGCACCCAGATTTTAAAAAAAGAGATCATTATAAATTAAGTCTAATTTAGTCTATTATTAATAAGAGTTGAGAGTAAAACTGTAGAGTCAGCCCAGGAAGCCAAGTCAGTAGCAGCAACAGAATATAGCTTCATTTCATGTTCCCCACTTTTATCTAAGAGTCTTGCATTTTAATAGAAAAAAATTTGATCAATTAAGTATAGCAGAGGTTGAGAGGCTGAACAATGAGTAGTCCAGAAGTTTTGCTTGCTTACCTGAGCTGCCCAGCGCTCTTGTTAGCGTATTTTGGATGTTACTCGTTGCAAAGGGGTGTGGATTTATAGACACACACACACACACCTGACTACAACTTCACCTGCATGGCAACAAGAACATTGTCACCTGTGTGCTCACAAACAGAGGCTTGTCCAAAGAACTTGGCTTCTTTCCAGTTCTCATGCTTTGCAGGAGAAAGCGCTCCTCACTCTAAATTAAGATCACATGTCTTCATAAAATGACACCAAAGACTTCTTTGTACAGTTTTTTTCTCTCTACCTTTTACTTTCCAAGGTAATTGGACATTTGGCTAGATTTGAGCACTGCAAGAAAAAGGAAAGAAAATGGGGAGGGGGGAAGGCAGGGGTGGGAGGAACAAATGCAGAAACTGTGTGTGCACCATTGTTCTCAATGAGAGCTCAGAAAGCTTTGTGGATTTCACACAAAGAAATTCTTCAGGGTGACTCAGATTGCAGGAATATAATAAAGAGCTAAAGAGATCAGGGCTGCTTTCTTTCCTTCCTTCCTTTTTTTATTTTGCTGAGAGAGAGAGAGAGAGAGAGAGAGAGAGAGAGAGAGAGAGAGAGAGAGAGAGAGAGAGGGAGAGAGGGAGAGAGGGAGAGAGGGAGAGAGGGAGAGAGGGAGAGAGGGAGAGGGAGAGGGAGAGGGAGAGGGAGAGAGAGAGATTGATTTTAAAATTTTTTAATATTTTGATAACCAAATAATGATTTGGTTATTCTCTGCAACCCTTCTTGTTTGTTTTAGATATTGTTACATACTGTGAATTTATCTCATTTAGCTGTGTCTCATTACCTTGTAGTAAAATGCGTGAAAGTTGAACAATGAGATCTACAGTGTGTGGACAGGTGAGCTCCCCAATGCCGCCTGTCTCTCCAGCCTCTAGTATGTGACACTATTCATTTTCTAACACTGGCCAACGGGAGACAGCAAGTCCAGGAGGTTTCTTCTAGAATATTTGGGTTAGAAGCTTCCAGATCAGCCCAAGTTCGATGAGGATGTCCTGGAATGGGCAGCTAGCAGGAACAGATAGAAACAGGAGGGATGGGGAGCAAGGGATTGAGGAAGAGATTAATGAGAGAAATTGCTGGAACTGAGGGGCATTTGGAGGGCAATGTGGATACCCAGTGCAGGGAAAACTCCCTGGATTCTATGAGAGTGACCCCAGTGAAGAATCCTGGTAAAGGGGGATACAGACCCTGAACTGACCATCTTCTAAAACCAGGCAAGTCTTCCAGGTAGGAGACATCAACCCAGACACAAAACTTGGCCTTCAGTTTGTCCTTAATGCAAGATGAGCTGTCGTGGGTAATGGTGGCACAGAATTTGTGGGAGTGGCTAACAATGGCTGGTCTAACTCAAGGTCCATACCAGGAGAGGAATTCCAACTCTGATACTGCCTGGAGGACCAGGAACCAAAGGCTGGATAGCCCAGCAACCTAGGATAGAACCAAACACCACAGCGGGGGTGGGGGGAGAGTCAATGAAATGAATTCTAATGATGTTCTGTTATACTCATAGATTGGTCCCTAGCCAAATTGTCTTTAGAGAGGCATCATACAGCATCTGATGGGAACAGATGCAGAGACCCACAGACAAATAGTAGGCAGAACTCAGGGACCCCTTCCAGAAGAGGGGAGAGATGGATTGTAGGATTCAACTAAGCAGGCATCACAGAGACTGAAGTGACTATCAGAGACCCTATAGGGGTCTAAGCTAAGTCCTTGCATGTATGTTATGATTGTGTAGCTTGAGGTTATTGTGGGACTCCTAAGAGTGGAAATGGATGTGTCTCTGGTGCTTTTGCCTGCTCTTGAAACCCTTTTCCCTCCTACTGGATCGCCTCATTCAGGTTTGATAAGAGTGTTTGTGTTTAGTATTATTGTAACTTGTTATGTGCCATGTTTGCTTGACATCCCTGAGAGGCCTGCTCTTTTTCTAACGGGAAATGGAGGAGGAGTGGCTCTGGGGGAAAGAAAAGTAAGGGGGTAAGGGGAATCTGGGAGAAGTGGAGGGAGGGAAACAGCAGTCAGGATGTATTGAGAAAAGAATTTTTTCTTTCTTTTTAAAAAATTTATTATTTCTTTATTGATCCTCTGAGCTCTGAGGGGAGGGACCCAATGAAGACCTCTGTTTAGACTGTCTTTGTATAATGTCTAGCTGTGGGTTTCTGCGTCCACCCCTATCTGCTACTAGAAGAAACTTCTCTGACGATAGATAGCTGGACAAGACACTGTTCTATACGTTCAGCAGAATGTCATTAGGAATCATTTTATTGATCGTTTGTTTGTTAGACCAGTCCTGTTTGATTCTATCCTGGGTTTCTGGGCTATATACTCTCCATTCCTGACCATCCAAGCAGCAGTGTTGAGCAGTGTTTTCTCTCGTGGGGTGGGCCTATTAAACCAGACATTAGTTGGCCACTACCACAACTTTGGTGCCACCAATGCCCGAGCACATCTTGCAGTCAGGACAGATTGGTCAAAGGTGTCTGGATTGGTGTCCAGGGTTTCTCTTTGTTTATTTGGTTTGATTTGTTTTTGTTTTGTTTGTTGTTTGGTTTTGTAGCCATCAGAGTACCTTCCTGCACAAAAGAGTCTAGACCATAGGGGGTCAAAACTCCATGCAGGCACCAAGTCAACCTCTCCATATTCAATGAACCGTGCAGATGTTATCCTTGACAATGTTGGTAAAGAACAACCCCCTCTCCTAACATCAGCCTGGGTGTTTTAAGACTCTCTACTCTTGACCAACAGTACAACCAAATGCAACCCAGTCCCACCAGTGGAAGCCTAGTGTAGTTAAAGAGATGGCAAATTGAGACTCTCCTTATTTATCCTTTCTTAGTAAGAGTCCTCACTAGAATCACCCTCATAAACTAGAGGAAGCTTCCACCACACTAGTTTTCCACACTGTGGGGCCCGCAAAGGGATGTCTTGGTCTTCCCGGTAGAGCACTGGGTCTGAGATAGCCAGGGACCCAACAGGGACATAGCCTGTCAGGGACGGCAGTTATCTCCCCACGCTCCAGGATTCCAGACGACCCCCACATGCGGCCACATACATCCCCATTAGCCTGTACCTTGCAGACACGGTTGGCTCAAAGTACCCCCTCCCAGGAGGTTTTACGTCACCTTCCAGGTAGAGGGCATGACTAAGAGATTTTCATATTCATGAGTTATCTAAAGGCCAGGGGGCGCAGCTAATTAAGCTATTCCTCCCCAGTCCCCCCTCTTTCCCATTCCCTATTAAACCCAGCTCTCCCCTGGCTGGGGGGGGGGGAGGGCACACATCCAGATGAACTATCACACTATGAACAATAAACTATTCCTTGGAAAGCCAGTCCACGCGTCTTCTGGGGCCTGCTGCCACAAAGCTTCCAGCTTTAAAACTTCAGACTTTTGCATGTCATGTGGGACTTGCCGGTGGGAAAGCCCTGGGACTCCCTCGCCTACCCGTCAGAGGGTTGCTGCCGCTTGGGCCTGGGGCACCCCCCCCCGCCTTGTGTTTTTTCCCATACCACACCACTCCCCAGATGCCCCCAATTCCAGACATCTCTCCGTACAATGTCTCTATCCCATTGCTCCTGCACCACAGCACTGGATCTCTCTCTCTCTCTCTCTCTCTCTCTCTCTCTCTCTCTCTCTCTCTAGTTTCTATGTGCCCCCAGTCTACCCTCAAAATCTATTCTATTTCCTTTTCCAGTTAAGATCCATGCATCTCCTCTGGACTCCTCCTCTTTACCTGATCTCTCTGGTTCTATGGACTTTAGCTTGGTTATCATTTACTTAATGGCTGATAGCCACTTAGAAGTGAACACACACCATATTTATCCTTCTGGGTCTGGGTTACCTCACTCAGGAATATTGTTTTCTAGTTCCATCTAGGTTGTTTCCAGTTTCTGGCTATTAGGACTAGAGCCACAACAAGCATGGTTGAGGAAGTGTTCTTACGATAGGATGTTCTTGTGGCATATATCAAATGTATATGCCCAAGAGTGGTATATCTAGGTCTTGAGGTAGATTGATTTCCAGTGTTCCGAAGAGCTTCCATACTGATGTCCACAGTGGTAGTACACTCTTACCAGTATTGGACAAATGTCCTTCTTGCTCCGTATCCTCACCAGCATGGGTTTTCACTTGTGTTTTTGATATTAGCCATTCTGGCAGGTGTAAGATGAAATCTCAAAGTTGTTTTATTTTCATCTCCCTGATGACAAAGAATGTTGAACACCTTTTTGGATATTTTCCAGCTATTTGAGATTCTTCTATTGAGAACTTTGTTTAGATATGTATCCAGTGTTTAAACTGAATTATTTATTGATTGATATCTAGCTTCTTTTTTTAATTTTTAAAAAAGATTTATTTATTTATTTATTTATTTATGTATTTATTTATTTATTTATTATGTATAGAGTTCTGCCTGCGTGTATGCCTGCAGGCCAGAAGAGGACACCAGATCCCATTTCAGATGGTTGTAAGCCACCATGTGGTTGCTGGGAATTGAACTCAGGACCTCTGGACAGTGCTTTTAACCTCTGAGCCATCTCTCCAGCTCCAATATCTAGCTTCTCAAGTTCTTTATACATTTTGGATATTCTCCATCTATTAGATTGGAGTTACTGAAAATCTCCCATTCTTTAGGCTTCTGCTTTGTCCTATTGAAGGTTTCATTTGCCTGACAGAAGCATTTAAGTTTCCTGAGGTTCCATGTGTTAATTGTTGAACTTGGTGCCTGAGATGTTGGTGTTCTGTTCAGGAAGTTGTCTCCTGTGCCAGTGCATTCAAGCTATTCCCTACTTTCTCTCCTACCAGGTTCAGTGTTTCTGGTTTTATGTTGCAGTCTTTGATCCACTTGGATTTGAGGGTTTTTTTTTGTTTGTTTGTTTGTTTTTTTGGTTTTGTTTTTCTGCAAGAACATGTGTTATTTACTTCGATTACATTGCCAGTTCAAGTGGAGCTGATACCCTCCTTCCCTAGGGTGGGAGTTGTGAGGCAGGTAACTGGATCCATTGCAATGTCATATCTGGGGCAAATGATTGTTTCAGAGAAGGATGTACATCAGGAACCTGGGATGCTGCCTGAGTTAAATT